TGCATAATGAGTATCACTTCCTATCTAATGCAATCTTTGATAATTCCCTCTTCAATTTGTAATCAAATTAAAAATATTTGTAAGAAGTTTATCTGAGAGTCTTTGAGAAATAATAAATGTCATTTGATTGGCTGAAACCATATTTGTAAACCCAAATCTGAGGAGGGCTGGGGTATAGGGATCTGCATACACTTAATAAAGCCTATGCTATTAAGCTGTGTTGGAGATTGATCTTTAACCCATTTGATCTTTGAGTTCAGATTCTAATTCATAAGTATAATTTTAACCTTAGTAACTTTATTAGATTCAGGAGACCCACTAGAAAGTCTCACCTTTGGAAGAACCTTATGTTGGTTTGGCCTTTATTCTCTCAAGGTCTGGGCTGGCAGATTAAAGATGACTGGTTTATCAGGTTTTGGACTGATTACTAGCTCTCTAACTTTGGTAAGTTGTTAAGTTATTGTAGTATTCCTCTTTCTAATCTTGATCTAAATACTCCAGTGGCTCTATTTGCTGCCAATGGAGCCTAGGACTGGGGCAAAATTTGGCCCTTTTTGCCAAACCCTATATGTAACTCCATTGCTCAGATTAATCCGCCTAACAAGAACAATGGTCTTGACCCTATGTTTTGGAATCTCTCTAATAATGGAAATTTCTCCATTAAATATGCTTACCAACTCCTTGTTCCCCTGCCCCTCTTTTTAATATGGCCTATGATTTGTTTAAAGTTATTTGGGCCTGAGATGGTTCGCCAAAATTTGCTTTCCTTCTCTGGAAAATTACTCATGGTAAAATCCTAACTAATGAGGAAACAGTTAAGAGAGACATGACTAATTTTTCCAAAGTTGTCCTAGGTGTGGTAATGACTCTGAGTCTATTATACATATTTTGAGATATTGTTACTATGCTAGATATGTTTGGAATTTTTTTATTTTACTTGTTGACTGGGTTCAGTTTTTTAGCACTAATTTAACAAATTCTTGTATGAATAATTTTCCTAATTTGTCTATGATATTTGGTGTGGTGATTTAGCATATGTGGAACAATATAAATGATTTTATCTTCCAACGGCATTCTGCCCAACCCATGAATCTTGCCCACAAAGCCTTATTTGATGCTAGTTATTTTTTTGGTCTCTATCCAACATGATTTTGGATCAAAGAAAGGTGAATTGGATCCCTCCTCCTTCTAGCCAATTAAAGTTGAATGTTGATGGTGCTGTGTCTTAGTCCAGTGGAGCTTCTGCTTGTGGAGGGCTAATCTAGGACAACCTTGGAAATTCCAGAGCTGGTTTATGCTCTATTCTCAATCCTTGTTCCTCTTTGTCTCCAGAACTATGGGGCTTGTGTATGGGTATTCAACTGGTTGTTCAAGAAAATATTCAATATATTTGGATTGAAAGTGATTCTAAGGAAGTAATCAATGTTATCTTAAATATTCAGTCTCTTTCTCACTCTTTGTTTGATCTTCTATGTAATATTATAGAGTTCCTTAGAAGTATTAGATTTGTTAGGTTAAATCATATTTGTAGAGAGGCGAACCTCTGTGCTGATTCTATGGCTAAAATGAATCTTGATCTCATGTTCCCCCTTTATCAGTTTAAGTCCCCTCCCTCTTTCCGTGTTTCTCTGTTCACCATAAATTCTTGTACCTGTTGCTATTTTAGACCCCTGAGTTAAGGGTCTTGGTTGTTTGGACTGGTGGTAAGCTCCTTTTATTAGAAAAAAAAAAGACACTTTAAAAATAATTCAAAGAAAATAACAATGAGCACAAAGACAAAAATTCCTCTTCCTTGTGCCTCTACCAAAGTTTTGATCATTTCCTAAATGGGAGGTGCTGAAAATCAAAGTGGGTTTTGGCCAAACATCTTTCCCTCAAAAAATCACATCCATTTGCAATGTGGAAGACATACGTCAATGTTTTGATCATCGTAGAAAGAAAGAGAATACAAGACCCAATAAAAAGAGAAACGACAGAGAGCAAGATATAGGATAACAATAATAATCATAATAAAATCTTTCTTCAAGCTTACGAGTTAGGATAACAGGAAAACTTTGTTTTTGGTGAGTTGTTTTTGGAGTCCACACATAATACATTTATGTTTTGATTCATTTCATTCTTTTTACTTTTAACTCCTTTTGGGTAGAAATTCTTTTGCTTTACTCTGAATACACTATTATCTTGTCCGCAATTTACGCTTTAAAAAATAAAAATAGTATGAACAAGGGAGTCTTAACACAGCAAAGAAGTATTACTATTTAACCTCCGCTGAGAACGTGAAAACAAAACCAACCAGCCTTATTAGTTTATAAGAATGAACTTACTCCCAATTGTAGTGCCAAAGTTTATTATAAATTTGTTTTCTTCACACCCTTTTAACCTTAAGAAAAATGGGAATAGCATATAGAGAAGTGAATTGTCAAAATATTGTTACATAACTAGTTCCTTAGCATCTCTACTAGTTTACCAGAAGCTGAAGTTTTGAGGTTTGAGGTTGGGAACTTTGGAGTGTTATGGTGAATCAATAACTGTTTTTTGTGATAAATTAGATAGATGATCTTTCCTTTGTCTCAATATGTCAGAAAGGCTTATGATGAGCTTTATCTTTTCTTTTTGAAAAATGAGGAGTGGGGTTTTTGTTCCAGGATGAATGATTTGTTCCTTGTATTTCGTTGACACCAGATACGCATCTTTAGGCAAATAATAATAGTAACAATTTTATTAAAAATACGTATTTGTTATATTCTTATAAGTTTAATATAATAATTTTTTTTAAAAAAAATTATTATTTTTGAATGCTTAAATTCAACTCTAAAGGTTAAGATTAACAAACCTTTTACATTTTCTTCTTTTTATATCACCCTTTATTTTAACCACCCTATTTTTTAAAAACAAAACCTAAAATGTATTAGTTACTTTCAAAAATTAAATTCTAGACCAAAAAAGTGGTATTAAAAAGCAACCCCATATTTATTGCATCATTACTAATCCATTAGTTATTATGGGCCACTTTGGAGTATGCAGGACTTTTTTGGTCCATTGATAGGATTGGACGACTGAAAAATTAGCATATAGGATTGGGTTCGTCCTCCGTGGAAAGAAATTACCTCCTTTATTTTGGAACAATGAAGGAAATTTCTTTATTAAATTCAAAGATTAAATTTTAGAAGTGTTTTATAAATTGTTTTTAGAATCTATTTAGACGAAATTTTAGTACATATTAGAGATTAAATTATGAAAAGTGATTTATAAATTGATTTCAAATCTAATTTCCCGAAGAGTTCTGAAATTAAATTTCCAAATAAAAAAAATGAAGTGTAAAAAGAAATTCTCTCCATATTTTGTTTGAAGGAACTTGTCCGCCAATGTAAATTCTGGACCAAAGAAAAAGAGGGTCAATAAAAGTTAAAAGGACCATGTTAATTGTTAAGAAGGAATCTATAATCAATGGCTTCCTTTTTCATATGTTCAACAATATTGAATATGGGCTGTAAGTAGATCTGATGACCCAATAAAATCAATCCAAACTAAACATAAAAGTGCTGATTGGTTCAAATTGTTGGTTTAGTTTGATTCAAACAATAACATCCCTGATTTAATTAGTTTAGGTCTTGGATTTTTAAAATAAAAGTCCAATGGACTCAACCCATCAAAATTTAGTTTATTTATTTGGTTATGTTGGAGTTATTGAGACTTCCATAGAACTAATTATGTTGTTGGCTGATAGTTAATATTTTGATTGGTTGCTAATTCACGTATGAACACATAAATAGTGCACATTATACTTTTAATTTAGTTGAATTTTTACTTGTTTGTTATGAGTTATGCTTTTACATGATATGTGATACATTGCCTCCTATTTGATGGATTTTAAGTATTCTTGTCTCTTATTTGATAAGCTTTGAACTACATCCTATAAGTTTGAAAGTTACAATAGATAAACTACACTTATTATTTTAACTTCACATTTTTTTTTACAAATTTTCCTTTTTCTTAATGTTTTCTACTTCTAAAAAAGTAAAATACCTGATCACTCAAACCAATTGCTTGGAAAAATTACACCTAATTTGAACCAAACCAAACCCAAAGCTTTTGATTGGTTTGGACATATTTTTCACCTAAACTCCAACCAATTTATTCTAGTTACACTCCTAATATTTAATACTCCATATCAAAGGACTGGATAAAAAAGAGAATAATATAAACCTAAGATTAGAAAAAAAATATATTAACCAATCCCCTTTACAAAATAAAAGTAGAAAAATTATTAAAAATTACATTAAGATATACTGAATACCATGAGAGCAGTGCAGTAATAATATTTTATAATCAAAACTTTCACGTTGAAAACTTTGGGGATTAAAATCTTCTCAAGTTTGATTACCTGGCGCTTCAACCTGAGAAATTCCTGGCCATGTTTCCAATAAAACCTTCCTATCTTATTCGGCATGTAGTTAACTTAATGAAAAACATTATTTGCACAATTTTCTTTAAATCGATTATTCAATACACTCTGATTGATTCATTTATTTTAGAAAATAAAACTTACGTTGTAAATTAATCATTTTTATATGTAAGCATTCTCTCATGTCTGAAATATTTTTATTTACTCGCTGTCGTCGTTCCTTATACTCGAGATATTTGAATTTCAAAGTCATCGTTACGCAAACCACACCTAAAAATTAGAATGTGTCAATATAATATTATCATAAAATAAATTAATATTTACATAGTTGCATATCCCTTTTCTCTATAAATTTATATTCTGTGGTTATCATTATCTACTTTTCGCTTAAAATATTGTCCATAGCACACAAAGCCCATTCTCTACTTCAATTATGGGAGAGGCTCGGAATTCATTCTGAAAAGCCCAGCATTTTTTCCCCTTTCTAATAAGTATGGCAAAGACAAATATAATTATGATACACATCAAGAGAACTCCTACGCCTGCATCACACTTCTTCATTTTAGCTACACACCAAGAAAACTCACTGCGCCTGTATTACTTCCGAATCCACACGCCGCTAACTATGCCTCAATATGGACAATGTTGAAGAGAATAGCCTTTCCTAAATAATAATTTACTAATAATTGCTTTAAATTAAATAACTCTCCTGCACTGCAACCTGGTCACAAAGCAAGATGATTGACTTTCGTGAGTTCATCTAACAATTAGTGATCTGAGTCTTGTGATGTTTGCTGCAATAAAATAACCATTGACACGTGCTGTCTTCACTACACGGATGACCTGATGAAGTGCAAGGAAAACAAAATCGTAAGTTCTCTCTTAAATTTACAATTCACAGAACTTCAAATCATTTGGCAGAAAGGATGCAGTTAATGATGAATGACTGCCCAAAGAAGAAAGTGAATACTAACATTACAACCTAGTCTACCCAGATAGAGTCACAAACTAGGCTGGCTTTAAACCACGATGGTGATTTTCTAATGTCAAAAGAGGATCATTAATTAGCCCTTTGCACAAATAGCAGGCGTCTAACTTACACAAAACAAGGTCATTAGTGTAATTGTACATGTTGTAGTGTACTAGCAACACAAATTTTAACTTTTTAAATCCACGATTACCATTGTTGAATTACAGAGAGAATGATTTACCAGTTTTAACATAGCATTTAAAATGACTTACAACAAAGTTACACTTAGGGAAATACCTAAAGGAGTCCTCTTATATTTTAGATGTATTTTTAAAATACGTTTATACAAAAAAGTAAAAAATAAAAGTGAGAGAAAGAAATAATGGTATAGAGTATCAATTTTTAGTAGTTCAATTAACAAAATTAAATGTTCATTTAAGCCTAAAATGAATTTTAAGATGAGACCTTTTAAACTAATGAGAATGGTGTGAAGAGAATAAAGAATGATGTTCGTAATGAGAATGAAGAAACAAATGAAACTTTTTTTTATGAGAAGAGAGAAATTCATGAAAAGTACGACGAGGGGCCCTCTTTTGAAAAAAAAAAAAATACCATTTATTAAAAGTAGTTACTAACTTGTTTTAATTTTTTATAAAAATATATTAATATGTAAAAATATTTTTAGGCTGAAAGCAAGGGCTTTAGGCCCCTTACCCTAAGGCCAGCCCTGTTAATTGGCCACAGCCCACATAATTCAGTTAAATAATTGAAATAAACAAAGCATCAAAATATTATACTCGCGGACAAGAGTGAATCGAGTTTTGGGATAAGAAAGGGGCGGGAAAGTATTTTATTTTAAATTAAAAAAGTTATATAATCTTTATAAAAGTAAATAAAAATTAACACATTAAATTTATACAATCTATCAGTTTATTTCCTTTAATTTAAAAAAAAATGAAATTAGAGAATGTTTATTAGAAATAAAAAGTCCGTCCTTCCCTCCTTTTCCCTCTAATACTCGACTCCCAATCACACCCTAAAATGACATGTTAACTTGCTGTAAAATCAGAAACGTGGTTACCTGATATTCTGGTTTCGCGGTGCTTCACTAGCTGGTTGAATCCCATCATATCTGCTGCTGGCATTGTTACTTTGTGCTCTCTCCGCATCTTGGACCATGTTTTTAGACATTTTATACGAATGATGCCCTGAATACCCCTTCAAATCGCTTTGAACTTCTGCCAACGGGTTCACAAAATATGCACCCTTACCAAGCTGCAATCTTTTGTTATTTGCAGCTAATATTTCTTTGCTTCCATCTTTGTCGATTGCATTATGCACAACATTTGTAGATGCTATGCCTCCGAAAGAGAACCTTGATGCTGAATATCGACCTTCTGTCTTCTTCCAGAATTTAGAACTCAAGAAGTCAGTACCAGGTAGCTTGCAACACGTGTCTTCTGTGGCATCAGTATTGGGAATCCTGCCACTTGAAACTGCCAAATCATATGATATTTCATCCAGGGCCATCTCTAGGCCATGTACACGTGTCTCCAGGGAATTCATACCACTTTGGGAGCTTCCAATAAATCTCTATATTCAAATTTACAAAGACATGAGTCAGAAATATATAATTATTCTTTTGAAAATCTATTAGATAAGCTTTTAAGCAAGGGTATGGGGTATTAAAAAGGGAACCGGGGGGGGAGGTGTTGGGGGTGGAGCCCGGCCATATGGGGGAGAACATCAGAGATCAGCTATATATTTCATTCCCAATACAGTCATAACCATATCTTCAAATAATTAAGCATGCTTTATTCATTCTACATTGTGTCATAAGGGAGGACGAAACTCAATTACGTCAACATGTTTGCCATTAATATATGCATCTTGTCTATATTATGAAATTACCAGCCCAAGAAGGAAAAAAATTATTCTGATTCAGGAAGAAAATTCATAAACAGGTTCATAAATTTCAGAAAAAAAAATGGAACATATATTCAATTTACCAAGCCTACACAAATGAAGAATAATTCAAAAGCTCAATATGGAAAAGTCAACTTAGACAGGAATAGAACTGCCTAAATAAGATTTAATAAAATGTTTATCAAAGTATGATAGTATACCTGGAGAAGGTCTAATAGATTTGACTGTTGGTTTTCAATTTGAATAAGTTGTTCACGGATCAAAGAAAAATCCTCCACATCTTGTAGGTTCTCACAAACATCATGTACATTGTTGACTATAACATCTACATCAAGATTGTCGTCACCATAACATGGAACCACACGAGATTTTGAACCACTGAATCTCCTCATTTTTTCATCTGACATCTTGCTAAAGAGAACACGCTTTATATCTGCCCTCGAATATACCCCATTTTTGTATGGGATTGGCTTAGAAACTTCAAAATCACACCTTTTAATATCATCCTCCCTAGACATATTCGAGGGGGAGGACCTTACTGGGGTTTCAAGTTTTTCATCTAAGGATTTCTCACGATCCTGCTGATGCAATGTCCCTATTCTTGAATTTTTGTCATTACTCTTTAGAGAACTCTCTCTTTTCATGTTGGATATGAATGAAACCGAAGATGGAGGGGACCTGTTAGCAGGGACTGTTTTCTTTGATTGAGAAGATTTAAAGCCAACATTAGGAGAACTTATAGGGAGCACCTGACCTTCACCATTATCTGTGCCTGTAAGAAACGGCCAACAACATAAAAAAGGACGAGATTAGTTCACCAGCAGATATGAAAGCTTCACTCCCTCAAATGGTTAAAACATAAAGGAAAACATGGTTTGATTTTAAGCAACTAAAATGGAAGGTTTTATAGAGGAAAAAAAAAGTATTCACTATAATCTTAAATTTCCAATGTTGTAAATACTAACGTTAATAAAACTGAAAAAGATACAGGAACAAAAAACAAATGAAAAGAGACCTAAACTTCAAATTCTGAAATGGAACAATTTTCGGTCAGTTAGGGGTTTTAACACGATGAAAAAAATCACGGGGTAAGTTTATATCCAGGAATTTTCATGAAAAATCCATCCCTAGATTTTTTCACAGCCAACTTGAAGGGAAAACCAAACCAACAGACTCGCAATCACAATAATTCCCGTACCATTCACACTCTTTGGAAAGTAAACTCAATTCAGCCAAACTCGAACTGAAGGAAAGCCCAACAAGTAGATTCACATCAGTCACTATTTAGAAATTAACATCCGAACCTAACACAATGCGAAAAACAAGCCTTACCAACTGAAGCACATTCAGACTTAGCCGAAGCAGGAACATCCTCAGACACATCCTTCCACATCTCCAAAGCACGATTCATAGTCTCACGAACTACTTTGATCTGCAACAACAGTACCACTTCAATCATATCAACATTCAGCATTATTATTTCCATTTCTTACTTCTAGTTCTTTTCAATTTCACTACCTTGAAAAATGTATAATTATAATCTTACTAAGTTAAATTTACCTTATCAAACCTTCGATTCTGCAATGAATCCAAACACAGAACCCTATGCTGCACTGCCAAATCTTTCTCCACCGAAGCCACCTTCCCCAGCGCCTCGGCCGAAGCTTTTCTCACCGTCCAATCCTCATTGCCGAGGAACTCAACGAGGCACGGCACCAACCAATTCATCGCTCCGCGACTCGAAGCGCCGCCGGCGGCGACCACACTTCCGATCAGCACCAGCAGCGCCGCCCTTGCTCTGCACGCGTCGTTCTTCACGAGCTTCCCAAGCTTCGGCAGCGCGCTCCTCCGGAGCGCGTCAACGTCCGGGTCCGGCGCCGCATCAACCGCCGCCGCGAGGCACAGCGCGGCACCGATCTGTGCATTGGCGTCCTGCTCCTGCGCCAGTGCGTCCATGAGCGGCCTCAGGAACGCGGCGGAGAACGGCGGCCGGGTGATCCGCGAGGACATGGAGGCGACGGCGTCGACGCATGCGGATCGGACGGCGGAGTCGGGGTCGCGGAGGCGGCGGAGGACGGTGGCGATCATCTTGGAAATGAAAGGGGAAAGAGCGTTGCCGTGGAAGCGCGAGAGAAGGTTCAAGAGGTGAACGCATTGTTTGCGAACCGGCGATTTGGAAGAGGAATCAGTGTTGTGAATGCAGGAGAGAAAAGAGGAGAATGAGTCGTGGCTTAGGGTTCGGGCGATGTACTCTAGCTCCGCGGCGGCGCCGGCGAGGGTGTCGCGGTCGGAAAGCTTGTTGAGGCAAGTAATGACTCGTTGCCGGAGGTCCTGAGTCGACCCGGTGGCGGCGAGTTGGGGAGGGCCGCTGAGCGAGTGGCGCCTGGAGGACATTGCTGTGTTTTATTTTCCTTTTCTGGTTCCGGCGGCGGCGAGTCAGTGACTCGGCATTCGAGAAGCGGCGGTGACGGAGACGAAAGTGAGTAACCGTCTAAACGGTGAGTTGAGAATGATTTTGGCGGTAGAGTTTGGAAGAGTTGGGTGTTGCTTCAAGGAAGTTTCGTTATCGTTGGGATTTTATATCAATGCACTTCGAGCTGTGCGGTGCGCATGGATGCATGTATGCTGGAGTTTGGATTTTATTTTTTTTTTTTAACTATTATCATTATATATGGAAATATAATTCTATTGAACTAAGTATGGAAATGGATAAATTATATGTCGTTTGAGTAAAAGTGTTTTAGAGTTTTTTTTTTTAATAACTATTTTACTGGCTTAAAAACTTAATAACAAAAGTTTATTTTAGTAATTTGTAATATTTTTGTTTTTTTAATGAAGTATTAGATAATGTTTGAACTTATAATTGTTATTTATTACATTTTTATGTTATTTTATACTTAATTCGACTGCTCATTTTACTATTTTTAGCTTAATTAACTAATCTATCATCTTTTAACTTTTCATAATTTTTTAAATTAATTTATATCCTAATTTTTCGATTAAATTCGTAGTACTAATGGCTCTTCTTTAAAATGACAATGATTTAATTCGTTTTAAGTAAATTTTAAATTTGTATGCGTATCATGCATGAGTTTGTAATATAAGTAATTTAATAATTTATCCTTACATGGTTAAAAATTTTAAATTTATTGATGATGGTAACATTAACTAAGTTATCATTATTTAAATTAATAACTTTTTTTTGCTATTAATTAATAACTTATTTAGTGTGTCTTCAAAATCTTATTGACATTAAATTAGTTATTTAAGAAAACTGTGATATCAAATAAATTAGCGTCAGAAAGAATTTATATGTAACACTTATTTACCTTTGTAAAAATAATTTATATACTCTACTAATTGAATAAATATTTAATTAAGTTACTTATTTAAATATAATTTAAATCCTTTAAATGTTATTAAAATAGTGATATCAATATTTTATGCATAAAAAATTGACTTTTATATCTTATAATAATAATAATAAATAAACATAAAACATGGTCATATAACTCTAGTGATTATTTCATTAGTAAAATCTTATGAACAATTGCTTCTGAACTTGATAGCTGATTGTTAGATAACCTAATATCTATTACTATTAGATTAATAAAGTTTAAATACTTATATTTCACTAATTTTTAGTTATTTTAATTAAAATCCAATAAAATATTCCAACTTTTATCATAATTTTATTAATTAAAAAAATAAACTGTACCATGTGTATTATATTAGATTTATGTTAAACTTGTTATATTTTATATCTATTTATAAAATTCTGATGCATTATATGATTATGCTATTAGTATAACTAAAAACAGAAATATTTTAACTAAATATAAAAAATCAAGTTAAATAAATATTATTAAAATATTTTTATTAAATTATTTAGGTTTAAATTTTATATATATATATATATATATATATATATATATATATATATATAGATGTAAATAAGTCAGTTAAATATAAATCTAGATAGATTTTTAAGTTCAAAATTTATAAATAAAAAAGTTATTAAAAATATTTTGTCCGCTTAAAAGAAATCACTTGTCTTAACTCAAATCAAACCAGATTCAAGTTCAATTAAAAGATAAGATAAAAGAGTTTTGTTTTTTTGTGAAAATGAAATTTGTTGATATTAAAAGACCTAAACCGCTATATTTTACAAGAATGAAAAGTAAAAAGAAACCGTGATTTTAGGCTAATTACGTGTGAGTGAATATTATAGAAAATGCAATTATTTTCTAAGCACGTTTCATGGCATTAATATGTTGGACTTTAAAACCCTAAATCCTAAACCCTAAACTTAATGTTAGTTGATATAATTCAACAATATATTATAAAATGAATCCTAAATAATTATTGTATTTCTTTCGTTTCAAATACTCATAATTTAAGATAGTTGCACATCAACAGCAACTAAGAAAGATAATGAATTAATTCTTTATTATTTTGAGAGATATCAATCTCATGAAAAGATTAATTCCAAAGTAAAAAAAAAAAAAATGTTTGTGAGGGGAATACAATAGTTTATTTTATACATAATTAAGATATGGAAGTTATCAAATTAAATAGCATGATTCACATTCTTGTGTTTACCCCCAAGTTATTGATATCTGCGTGTCTAACTCAAGTTCTAGCTATAAGAGTTTGGTTGTCACATGCATCAAAGGCCACGTAGATGTAGCAGTAGCAATAGAATAGAAGTGGAATAATTAGCAGGAGGTGATAAGAACTTAATTATTGCGTGTTTAATCTTAATTTGGATACCCAGTTCCCCAACATTCAGATGATTTGACTATATACCTCATAATTTATTTTATAATCAAATACTAACAATGGTCAGCATGTAATAAGAGGATAGTAGCACATGACCAACCACATGCAATGTAAGATGTAATACTACCCATTACAGAAGAGCATCTATAGCTTCATGTGAGAGTTGAAATTAATTGACAGCAAAACATTAGATAAAAATACTATTTCTCTCTCTCTCTCTCACTCACTCACTTCATAAGAATCAGGAAAGTATCTAGCAAATTTAATTATGGAGGCCTAAATGTGGAGCATGTGAAGGAGGTAAGGAGAAGATATATATTTTGTTATCATATGCTGGTAAAACTTCACAATGAGCCCACAGGATTCAACTTGTATAGCAGTCACGTGACCCCTTGAAAATGGATATTCATTGAATTGTACCTATTTATTTATTTATTTTCTTGTAAAAGCGAAACAAAACAATTGGATTGGCTATGGAGAGAGGGTACTCTTTTTCTCTCAAATTAATTTCATATAACTTTGTTGCTGCCCCTCAATTAGAGAAAAATCTATTTCTTTGTCTCTTTAGTAGATATTCCTTATATGTAATATTCACCAACTGAACCATCAATTATCTTTACATAAGCAAGGACCCAACCAAAGAATAGTGGTGCTGTTGGTGACTAAATCTAACTGCCCAAAAATTAAGCCACAGTTATGAAAGGTGAAAATGATATAGAAAGAAAAAAAACAAGTAAAAGAGGAGGAATCAAGAAGGAAAGAAACAAAAAGGCCAAAAAGTGTTATAATTCTAACTACCACTGTAGCTACTTGCATGCAGTGGAAAGAGACTAAAGAGGTTATCTGCTTCTCCGTGATTTAAGTTAAGAGGCAGTGATGATTTAAAGCACGAAGAGTGGGCAAAGGTAACTTGATTGGTATCTACGAGAACCTACAAAGAGTCTCTCATTATTATACACAGAAGCTTACACATCAAATACCCCATAATTCATGGAATAAGAAAAGGACAAAGAATAAGTTGATGAATCCATGTGACCATTTGCGTTTCATTTTCGTGATAAAGACTTGGCTGTTCTTGGCCTTGTGCTGTAGTTATCACATAGCGGGTGCGGCCACCATAATTAGACGAACCATATATAGAACAATCTCCCTACTTGATAGTTTTAAATTATTACCAATTTCATATAATGATTTTTTTAATCTACGTACAAGGATATATAGTAACTTTTTTATTCAAAATTACATGATATCGTTAAATTTAATATATAAATTAAAGATAAAAAGAACTCTGCATATAAAATATTTTCAGCTTATCTTATTTGGATATATGTTTGAAGATCATATACAAATATACAATATGGTATCAACCTTCTATTATAGGTTACACTAAATTTTAATATAAATTTTGGCAGAATTTTTTCTAATACATGTTAATTTCCTTATATTTGTTTATCACTTTTTTACAAAAATTAAAATTTTACCACACATAACTAATATATTATATAACAATATATTAATTGATACATCAAACACAAACACAAACACATCACCATCCTAAACCATTATAGAACACATCCCCTTATAACTCCACAACATGCATATTCTACAAATTTCACAAATACAAACAATTCCACAGCACACAATAATCAGGTTCAGAGAGAACCTCTACGTCTTTCCCCAGTCATATAATCTCCAATCTTACAACTCTATCTTAGAAATATTAAGTCTCTAAAAGATATAAAAAATTAAACCGATTAAAAGTTCCTAGAGAGAGAGGGGCGAGAGAGAGTTATGAAAAAATGAGGAAGGAGAAGGGAGAGGCGCCGTTTTATGGGTTTCAATCATTACAGACAGAAAAATACATCTGTAAAGGGTTTAATGAAACGATGCATTTCAAGTCCATTTACAGACGAAAAAATTCGTCAGTAATTTGCCACCTAAAAGGTCGGTTAAAAACGGTCATATTTATAGATGGAAAAATCTGTCTGTAATTCCTATCTATACCATTTCGCGCCAAATAGTGGAAATGGTGGGCAAATTATAGACAGATTTTACAAACGGATTAAAAATACGTCTGTAATACAGATGAATTTTTCAAAAATAAAATAAAAAAATAATTCACAAATCTGTCTGTAAAATCTGTCTTAAATAGCGCTTTTCTAGTAGTGAGCTGTAGCATTGGGTTGGAATAAACTTTTGCTTTATTTTCCTTAGCGTAGAAAGGGGGTTAAATTAAACAACTCATAGAGATTCAAATTAAAAAAACTAATGAAAGCTTTGAAGTATGAAACCTTATGTGCCCCGCCATGCATTTAAATAAAAGTACAGGATTGTTGTTGTACGAGGTCAGGGAATTCTCTTTAGACACTTGGAACAACTTTAGAAATCCCTTTAATACTAATTTTAACTATTTAATTAAAGCTATTCCCATCAAGATACCCTCACTTAGTTTTGATTATATGTTTTTAAACTTATTTTGAACACAGGGCATTGTGTGAAAAACTGGCATGGGCACATACAATGCATCATGGCACTAACAATTGTATATTTCTTCGTCTTCCACTCTACGAACGATGAAAACTAGTGGGATTAAGCGATTCACTTAACGGGGGGAAAAACCTTAACGAGTAAGTGATTAGAGGAAGACAACAAGCATTGATGAAGGATAAATTAGTATGAAAAATATGAGCTCTAAAGAACCTAGTTACTCTCAAAAGTATATATGTACGTGTACAATACACGT